GATCGCGTTATAGGAGAACTACTTGCAAATGATTAGACTTGAATGTAGGAGGGTTGATCAGTAATCTCACAGATAATAAAAGTTGGTGGAGTGGTAAATAATAACTACATGAGCATATAGATGAGCTGATCACTGGCAAATGGAATTCAATCCAGATTAGTGAGATGTGCACTTGGGAAGGAAAAACAAGACTAGGAAATACGTGATGAATAGTAGGATTCTGGGTAGAACCAAGGATCAGAAGAACCTTGGTGTACATGTCCACCTTTTCCTTACTGTATCAGGGTAGGTAAATAAAACATTAAAAAGTCATATGGGATGTTTGCCTTTATTAACTGAGTCATCAAATTTAAGGAGCAAGGAGGTACAAAAAGTTGGTTAGGCCACAGCTATAGTATTGTGTGCATTACTGGAATCCATGTTATGGGATGGATGTGATTGAACTGGAGAGGGTTCAGAGGAGATTTATCAGGATGTTTTAGTCATGAAAAAAGAGATTGGATAGCTTAGGGTTGTTTTTCTTGGAGCAGAGGAGACTGAGGGGACATACTAAAGAAAGTAGTGAGTGAGATGAAAGTGGCACGGCTGTTTTTTTTATTCACTGTGGGATGCTGGCTGGTCAGCATTTATTGCCTGTCCCTAGTTGCCTTTGAGAAGGTGGTGATGAGCTGCCTTCTTGAATTGCTGCAGTCCACATGCTGTAGTTTGACCCACAATGTCCTTACAGAGGGAATTCCAGGATTTTGACCCAATGACAGTGAAGGAATGGCGATATATTTCTAAGTCAAGTTGGGGAACAGCTTGGAGGGGGACTGGCAGCCATGTATCTTCTGCCCTTGTCCTTTTTGGTGGAAATGGTTGTGGGTTTGGAAGGTGCTGTCTAAGGATTTTTGGTGAATTTCTGCAGTACACAGCACGTACTGCTACTACTGATTGTCAGTGGTGGAGGGAGTGGATATGGAGCTAGTCAAGTGGGCTGTTTTGTCCTGGATTTTGTCAATCTCATTGAGTGATGTTGAAGCTGCGCCCATCCAGGCAAATGGGGAGTATTCCGTCAGACTCCTGACTTGTAGATGGTGGACAGGCTTTGGGAAGTCAGGTGAGTTACCCACTGCATTATTCCTAGTCTCTGACCTGTTCTTGTTTTTGTGGTGAGTCTATTTGAGTTTCTGGTCAATGGTTACCCCCAGGATGTTGATAGTAGAGGACCCATTGACGGTATCACCATTAAATATCAAGTGATGGTTGTTAGGTCATTTCTTATTGGAGTTGGTCACTACCTGGCATTTGTGTGGCCCAAATGTTACTTCCACTTGTTAGCCCAAGCTTGGATATTGTCTAGGTCTTGTTGCATTTGAACATGGACTGCTTCAGCATCTGAGGGGTCGCATATAGTGTTGAACATTGTGCAATCATCGGTGAACATTCCCACTTCTGACCTTATGATGGAGGGAAGGTCATTGATAAAGCTTTTATGATAATAGTTGGGTATAGGACACTACCCTGAGGAACTCCTGCAAAGATGCCCTGGAGCTAAGATGACCAACTTTCAACACCCATGACCATCTTCCAATGTGCCAGGTATGACTCCAGTCAATAGAGATTTGCCCCTGATACCCATTGACTCCAGTTTTGCTAGGGGACCTTGATGTGAAAGGCTGACAGTCTCACCGTACCTCTGGAATTCAGCTCTTCTGTCCTTGTCTGAGGCCAGGAGCTGAGTGGCCCTGGTGGAACCCAAACTGGGTATCACTGAGCAGATTATTGCTGAGCAGGTGCTGTTTGACAGCACTGTTGATGACACTTTCCATCACTTTACTGAAGATCAAGAGTAGACTGATGAGGTGGTAATTCGCTGGGTTGGAGTTGTCCTGCTTTTTATGTACAGGACATACCTGAGCAATTTTCCACATTGTTAGGCAGATGCCAGTGGCATGGTAGGAAGTTAATGAGATACGTTTGCGATAATAACATGAGACAAGTCACTAGATCTTGCATAGAGAAACATTCCATGATACCTGACGAAAATCACACAACTGTAATATCGTAAGTTTCAGCCCAAGCCTCTGAAGTTGAACAAAAAAAAATCATGGATAAATTTATCTGGTCTGCCAGCTTGTGTAAAACAGGCAACAGACTTACCATTTCAAGTCCAATATGCCTAATCTTGCAAAAGAATCATTTTGGACTCAAGATGTTAACTCTGTAAACGTGAAAACATGTTGTCATTTGCATTCTGATCGTCTGATCAAGAAATTTGAAATTTGGATACAAACAAATTTGCGGTCTGCACTAATGCACAACATGCCTTTTCTTTAATTAGTTTGCTTCCCTGCTCAGCTAACACCAAGTCTCACTTTTATTTATTCAGTCACATGATATGGGTATGGCTGGCTTATCTAACATTTGTTTCCCATTCCTAATTGCCCTGACCATTTGGCAATGTAAGATCTGATATGCTGGTTGTGAGCTCTTTTAACCCTGTCTTTCATGCTACTTATTCTGTTTGACATACAAATAGTCTTGTGTTGTAGCTTAGATCTCATTTTTAAGTCTTCACCATAACTGGCGGCAATCAGTCCTAATGGTACTGTTGGGTACATCTGCTGCAGATTTTGGGAGAACAAGGACAAGTATGATTTTTCACCTGCTTCAACCAGGTTTAGTGTCTATGTCCTTTAGGACTAGGCTAACTCAGTCTATGATGGTGCTATTAAGCCACGCTTTGTGATGGACACTGAAGCCCCTCACCCAGACCATATTCTGTGCCCATTGCTACTATGGCAGTCTGACTCATGCACAAGTATACTTCCAACAGTATTGGCGACTGTATTGTATGTCTGTAAAGTGGCTATTTTTTTGAGTCGATGTAGTCAGTGCCCCATCACAAGTCCCGTCTTCGCATTGAGTATAACGTCCATCATGTTGTGTGGCAATATCACTGTGCTAAATGGGGCCGACTTCGAACAGATCTAACAACTCAAGACTGGGCATCATTGCAGCACTGTGGCCAATCAACAGCAGCAGAATTGTACTCCAGCACAATCTGTAACCTCATGGTCTGGCATATCCCCCACTCAACCATTACCATCAAGGCAGGGGATCAACCCTGGTTCAATGGATAGTACAGGAGGGCATGCCAGGAGCAGCACCAGGCATACCTGAAGTTGAGGTGTCAACCTGGTGAAGCCACCAAACAGGACTACTTGCATGCCAAACAGCATAAGCAGCAAGTGATAGACTGAGCTAAGTAATCCCACAACCAACGGATCAGATGTAAGCTCCACACATCCAGTTGTGAATGGTGGCGGACAATTAAACAACTCACTGGAGGCGGAGGCTCCACAAATATCCCCATCCTGGAAGATAGAAGAGCCCAGCACTTCAGTGCAAAAGATAAGACTGAAGCTTTCGCAGCAATCTTCAGCCACAAGTGCCGAGTGGATGAACCATCTTGGCTTCCTTCGGTGGTTCCCAGCATTACAGCTACCAGTCTTCAGCCAATTCAATGCACTCCATGTGATATCAAGAAATGGTTGGAGACACTGGATATGGACCCTGACAATAAACCAGCGATAAGTAAATTCGCGCCACACAAATGCCAGGCTATGACAATGATGAATAAGAGACAATCTAGCCACCGCCCCTTGGCATTCAACAGTGTTACCATCGCTGAATCCACCACTTCAACATTCTGGGAATTATCATTGACCAGAAACTCAACTGGACTCACCACATAAACACAGTGGCTGCTAGAGCAGGTCAGAAGCTAGGAATACAGTGGCAGGTAACTCACGTCCTGACTCCTCAAAGCCTGTCCACCATCTACAAGGCACAAGTCAGAAGTGTGACGGAATACTCTCCACTTGCCTGGATGAGTGCAGCCCCAACAACACTCAAGAAGTTTGACACCATCCAGGACAAAGCAGCCCACTTGATTGACACTGCATCCACAAGCATCCACTCCCTCCTCCACCAATGCTCAGTAGCAGCAGTGTGCACTATCTACAAGATGCACTGCAGAAATTCACCAAGGCTTCTCACATAGCACCTTCCAAACCCCCAACCACTTCCATTTAGAAGGGCAAGGGCAGCAGATACATGGGAACACCACCACCTTCATGTTCCCCTCCAAGCTAATCACCATCCTGCCTTGGAAATATATTGCCATTTCTTCGTTGCTGCTGGGTCAAAATCCTGGAATTCCCTCCCTAAGGGCTTTGTGGGTCACCCACAGCTTGTGGACTGCAGCAGTTCAAGAAGGCAGCTCAATACCACCTTCTGAAGGTTAACTAGGGACAGACAATAAATGCTGGCCAGCCAGCAATACTCACATCCCACAAAATGAATGCATAAAACTCCAGAAAGTGAAGGCACTGCAAAGATATAACTCAAGTGGATAAATATTTTGTTATTTTTCAAAATATTTTTGGCTATTTGTTAAAAAGAATTGAGATCATGGATAAAATAGTATTTGTTTGGCAAGATGTTTGGATGTTTCAAAGAATATATGCAAAGAAAATTGGCAACCATAATTAATGGGTTACGTAAGTGTGCGGGCATCAAATAAAGCCTGGTCCTTTCACTCTGAGAATTACTAGGTAACAATTGAAAATAAAAACTCTGGTTGATTTTACACCTTTACCTATACTAGAGGAGGTGCTTCATCCTGTATCATTGACTGCTTCACTAAGATCAGCTATCTCAGTACAAGTGTTGATTTAAATATGAACTTTCTACATTATATAGGTCAACATCAAAATATCCAATCCATTTTATCTCATTTGTTATTTAATGAAATCAGCGAAGAGCTTTATTCTTAATGTAGTATTTCCATTTCTTACAACAACAACCCCTCCATCCCGTTATGAATTTAAATCATGAATTAAAACTATCACTTATATAATTTGACTTGGATTCTGATGCTGGTCTTTTTAGCAAAATACCAATGTCATTCCAATGTTGCTTGTCTAACTGTATATTCTGTTTTCAATTTGAAGGAAATTGCAGCACGATATATCTTGAATGGACTGAGTGGTAATTCACTCACCAAAGCTCTTGAACATTATCCAGAAGCAAGAAAAATATTGGATCATGCAAGCTTATGCGCTGTATGTAAAAGTAGCTTTCTGAACACCTGGCTTGAATGTGTGAGCTTTGTTGATCTAGCAAGGGTAAATATTTTGTTTTCATTAATACGTAATGTACATATATACAGAATTAAATGAGCAGGATTTGAATGAATACCAGGATTAAAAAAATACAATATCGATGAAGATGCCGTTGTCCTACCAGACCATAGGGCCCTTCTCACATTAGAGAGAGACAACTGGTGGAGGTTTTAACCTGAGGGTCACCATGCATTGGGTGAGAGAAGAAGTGAGAAGGAGAGTCCTTTATGGTAACCTTACCTAGTATGGGAATTGAACCTATGCTGTTGCATCACTTTGCATCACAAATCAGCCATCCAGACAACTGAATGCAGAGTAGAAGCTTACAAAAATTCCAAGTTACATTAACTATGTTTTCAATATGGCAGATCTTATGTTTATATATAATATGTACTGGAAGTGCACCACTTTCCATTCTGTAAATACTTCTCCAAATAGGCATTCAGGGGTCATCTATGAAATAGGTATTAGACTCCTTAAACTTGCAAATTGGGGATTTGGTGGAAGCTCCTGCTAAACCATTTATTATTCACTGACTGCAGCATGTGTCAGTATTCTTAGATGTGTGGTTGTAAATTCAGTGTTTTTAAGTTACTGCTAGAGGTTCCCTTCTAGAGATAAGTGGGATTTTTTGCTTACCTTATTGTGGAGTTGGAATGAGTGGTAAGACTTCTTAAAGTTTTGAATTAAGTTGCAGCCAGTACCAACCAATGCTTATATTCCTCCTGATTGCCTTCTGTCCATCCAAAATTCTGGTTGCTACCCAGCTGATATTCAAACCAGCCAATCTTTGCACTTTTTGGGACTAGCAAACTTCCTTTGAGTCCTGGCTTTCTCCATAAATTTCCATTTGCATTTGTTTTTGGTAAAATGGGGTCTTACTTTAATGTGGATTTCACATCAAAGGGAGCACAGACTGTGAATAGGCTGTGGCCTATTCCAGGCTCAGGAAAGAATGGATTTACCTGGAATCTCTTGACTCTTGGCTAGTTTTTTTTTAATGAAAATAAGTTTGGTGCCAAGTTAAATGTTGAAACTACCTTGGAGTACCGGCCTAAGTCATGAACTCGACAGAACTCTGCAGATTTAATATTAATATGATAAAATATTGATATAATTTACTGCCCTATTAATAAGGGCTGATAAATTATTTAAGCAGTGTTTTTGATTGGGATCGTTTGCTGGGAATCTCAAGGAAATTCAAACAGAATAACAACAGCAACAGGCCTGGATGGTGTCTCCGGCCGAGCACTCACATCCTGTGCGGACCAACTGGCGGAGGTATTCGCTGACATCTTCAACGTCTCCCTCCTCTAAGCCAAAGTCCTCACCTGCTTCAAGAAAACCACCATCATCCCTGTACCTAAGAAAGCACATGCAATATGTCTTAATGACTACCGCCCAGTGGCTGTGATCTCAATAATCATGAAGTGCTTCGAGAGGCTGGTCATGGTCTACATCTACTCTATCTTCTAGCCTGCCTTGACCCCTACAATTTGCCTACTGACATAACAGGTCCACAGCAGATACCATATCCCTCCCCCTGCATCCATCCCTGGAACATCTGGACAATAAGGACATCTACATCAGACTCCTGCTCATTGACTACAGCTCCACCTTCAACATCATTATCCTGTCCAGACTGGTCTCAGCTCCGCCCTCTGCAACTGGATCCTCAGGTTTCTGTGACACAATCAGTGAAGATGGGTAACTGCACCTCCTCCACAATAACACTCAACACTGGAGCTGCTCAAGGAAGCGTCCTCAGCCCCCTACTGTACTCTGTACATGCGCGACTGTATTGCCAAATTCTGAATGACCTCCATCTATAAATTTGCTGATGATGCCACTGTAGTAGTATGGATATCTAACAACAAGTCAAAACACAGAAAGGAGATTGAGGGCTTGGTGATGTGGTGCAATGAGAACAACTAGCTCTCAGTGTTGGCAAAACTAAAGAACTGATCATTGACTTCAGAAAGAAAGGAGGAGAACATGCCCCCCATATACATCAACGGTACTGAGGTTGTGTGTGGAGAGCGCCAAGTTCCTCGGAGTGACGATAACTGCCAACCTGTCCTGGACTTCCCACGTAGATGTGACGGTCAAGAAGGCACAACAACACCTCTTCTTTCTCTTCTTAATCATTGGTGGAATGATTGAAAACGAGAGGGCACAGATTTAACAACCTTAAACAAATGCAACGTGACAACTTTTTCATGTAGCGAGTGGTTAGGATGTGGAATGAACTTCCTGAAAGTATGGTGGAGGCATGAGGCAAGAGAGAATTGAATTATTATCTGAAAAAGAAAAATGTGTGGGGCTATGGTGACAGGGATGGAGTGTCTCTGGGTGAATAGTTCCTTTGGAGAGCCAGCACAGACACCACTGGCTGAATTTGTGCTGTAATTATTCAACACATCTGATGATTTGGTTTGTTGATTTAATGAAGCCTGTGTTTCCATCCAAGGCTATGACCCAGATTTCACCTTTACAATTCATTGCTAGTTAAGATGTATATGAACTGGTATTTTGACCATGCAGGTTTAGGTTGTCAGGGGCATATCTGAGTCATTATCATTAAGATTGAATTTGATAGTGCAAAAATAGAGACCATCTTGTGAGGAAAGATACCAGGCAGATAATTCACATAAGTTCGAGCCTCTATATTTCAAGAAATTTTTTCCCAATATATAATGTTATGACTATCTCAGGGCAAGATTCCTCAATCATTACAGTTCTAGATAGGATGCCCTAAGCTGTTAAGCTTTTGGGTCAGTAGGGATGAACTGGATCTGCTTCTTTGCTCACTAACCCACATTCATTATTTGCCCCTAATACTACAATAGGTATTAAACTATATCTTTGGGTAATATGCCTCTGATTTGACATACTTTAGGGGGTTCAGCACTGAAGGTAACCAAAGCTACCTTTGGAACTTAGGCCAAAATGGTTGGTCTGGCGAAATTCAGAGTCATTGCATCTCTCAACCACTGGTCACTTTACATCTTTTTAAGGCTGTTATATAATGATAAAATTGTTTGTGGATATATGCCTGGGGGTGAGAAATTGAAACCGAATGACAATGTAGCAAAACGTACAAATTTTATACAATTCTATTCATCATTGACATCATAATATGAATCTGTCTCACTATGTAATGTTTGACAAACTTTACTTCATTACAAGTGTTTTAATAATTCAAGGGAAAATTTTCTGTAATATATACTTTTGATTTAATATAAGTCTTTTTCTCTGCAGACATAAAATATATCATATTGTTTTGTGATTTATATTCCTTTTCTTATCTTTCAGAAAATTAGCATAATTAGTCCTGTTCACGTTGTTCCCATCCGAGCCTTGCTTTGTTCGTACAAATGTTTTAATGAATCAGGTCATCAGTTCTATGGGATAGCAATTCCATAAGCAATATAACGAAACAACATGAAGAAATTGAAGATCAACTTCATGAACTGGAAATAACATATGTTTTAGATTGTGTTTTAAGGAACTCACAATGATAAAGAATGGACTATTTACAGATGACATATTTCCAAAATTCTCAATCCATTGTTCAGTTTTAATGTTAACTAATTAGTGATCCACTTTTTGTGAGAATGAAAATGCATGAGTTTCTGCTTAGAGTAACTGCCGTGTTTTATCTACAACAGAATTTTTTCTTTTTTTTAACCTCTGCCACCTGATGAATTGGAATTGGAGCATAAAATTCAAGACGCACATGCTCAGATATGTTGCATTTATTCCATTTAAATTATTAATTTGTGTCCTGTTGGACATGTCTGTAGATACCGACAAGATGTTTTCTTCAGTGCTTTTTGTAGTGTTTAACCTCAAAAAAAAATCAAAGGACATCTGTTTGCAGCTATCTCTGCAACTATCATAATTGTTTACTAAAAATTATTTTCTAGACGAATTGGCTAAAGTTTCCTAGAAGATATTTATTTTCACCTAAGGTGCTAAGTGCATACAACGAAGACTAGACTCCTTTGTACTCCAGTGTTGGACTGCAAGAATAAGTGGGGAATTTTTAGGAAAAGAAAGTCATATGTTCCTCTTTCAGAAAAGGTTTTAATCCAACATCTATTCTTCCTTCCCTCCTTTGATTCCAACATACTAAGTGGAACCTGAATGCTTTTCCTCAGGAAATGGAAGATCAAATAGGAGAATCAGACTATGTTGTCTCACATTTTTCAGCTACATCAGAGACAAGAGAGGAATTGTGGAATGATATTTAAGATGTCCAAGAGGAGGCCAGCTGTGGTATGCCTTCTTTGTAAGAGTACAATTTTATCTAAATACTCTAAAGAAAAGAGGAATCAGTACATATGTGCAGATATGTACGTGATTGTGGGTGAGGAAATGGCATATTTGATTAAATCATGTCCATATGGGGTGGACATGATGTTCTAAATGGAGTTTTTGAGTACCTGTTATATGTTTATATTTTATCAGATAAAAGTGTGATCACAAACCAGCCAAATCATAGAATGGTGTAGCACAAAAGGAGCCATATCTATTATGCCTGTGCTTGTGCTAAGAAAGATCTATTCAATTAGTCAAATGCTGGAAATATTCAACAGATCTGGCAGCTTCTATGGAAAGAAAATGAGATGATATTTTTTGTTGATGCTGACCCTTCATCAGAATGGGACTGAAGGATTGTTATCAACCTGAGGCATTAACTCTGTTTCCAGCATTTTCTGTTTTCATTTCCTCCATCTGCAATATTTTGTTTTTGTGGTAGTCTCACTCCCTTGCCCTTTCTCTATAGCCCTGCACATTTTCTCCCTTCAAAAATTTAACAATTCCATTTTAAGAGATAATGTCAAATCAACTTCTATCACACTTCCAAGCAGTGCATTCCAGAACTTGGTAATGAAAAAAGTTACTTTGAGTATATGATTTGTGATTACAGAGCCTACTGCCACTGCAAACAGTTTCTTCGCATTTATTTGTCAACCCCTTCAAAATTGGAACACCTTTATTGATTCTCTCATTAATTCTTGCAGTTCTAAGGACAATACGCAAGCTTCTCTTGTCTCTCCTCTCTAAATTCCACCTTCCTCACACCATTCTATTAAGTCTCCTCCCATTTTAAAAAAAGTTATTGATATCCTTCCTAAATATGTTTGTTTGAGATGCGTACAGTACTCCAGTTCAGGCCTAATCAGTGATTTATTTAGCACATAATTTCCTTTGTCATGTACTCAGTGCCTCTTTTACAAATTAAAGAGTTAATAGAGAGAAACTACTTTTGTTGGCGCAAGTGTCAGGAACTGCAGGATATTGTTTTAAGGTGATTATCAAAATAACCTGAGGAAAAGCTGTTTCATAAAGCAAATGGTTAGGATCTGGAATGCACTGCCTGAAACTGGGGTGGAGACAAGACTCAATTCGAGCTTTGAAAAAGGAATTGGAAGAGAGAATATTTTCAGTAATGCTGTGCTGTAATGATTTTTAAGTTCTATTTTCCTGGAATTCAAAGCACTTCTTATTTGAAGAATTTGTACATATCCACTCCCAGGTGTTTCTGTTTTGCCAGCCCTTTTAAAATTGTGCTGCTTACTTTATGTTTCCTCTTCTAACTCTTTATGCAAAATGGAAATCTTTGCATTTATCTGCATTACATTGTTTCATTTGTCTGCACAGTTCACAAGCCTATGTGCTCCTGAAGTCTGTCACAATTCTTCTCACTGTTGAACACATTTCAGAGTTTTGTGACATCTGCAAGTTTTGAATATTGGAGACTTACACCTGTATACCCAACTCCAGATCTTTAACATATATTTTGTACAGCAGCGGTCTTGATGCTGATCAGTGGGAGACATCACTGTATAACTCTCTTCAATATAAAAAACAATTATTAAGCATCATTTTTCTATTTTCTGTCCCTTAGACGATTTTCTATCCATGCTGCTGCTGCTCCTTTAATCTCATGAGTTTCAAATTTACGAACAGCGTTTGTGTAAAACTTATACATGTCTCAGTATGTTCTTTATAACTGGGTATACTTTCAGGGAACGTTTGTGTTTTTAAGCAATGTTCATTGTGGCATTGACATTAATGTTTGATATATAATAAAAACATCAATTCAGGCTTATTTTATTAATTACCTTCCAATTGGTGTATTGCCTGCAGTTCTGGCCTACATTCTATAAATGGGATGTAGAGAATGCAAATGAAGATGTTTGAGAATGGTATCAACTGTGACATTTTAAGGACTGGATTAACAGGATGAGTCTCTTTTCCTTTTGAAACAAAAAGCTGAGGGATGACTTAGGAGAGGTCTTTACAATTATAAAATTATGTGCAGAGTACAGAGAGACAGTTTCCACCTGTGGGAAACAGAAAAACTAGAGGCTATCAATATATAATAGTATTATACAGTTGTATTATTCATTAAGAGCATTATAGTTTTGGTCAAGATTGGTAACTTTTTTAAAAAGGGAAATCCGAAATCCCAGTTAGTTATTGAAATGATGAAGCCACATGATTCCATAGTGTAAAACAAAGAATTTTTATTATGCAGGAATCAAACAAAATAAACATTAGATACTATGATGGGTAGCCACCTATATGCTAAAACACAGAATTAACGTAAGTTAACCATGTATTAATAGGGAAATTGTAGTCAATTATAAATTAGAATTTATACATTAAATAGCAGGTGCCAGTAAGATAGATCTTACAAATTGGCCTGGCAGACCACTCAGCATATATGTTAGTAATCTCAACCAAAGCCTTTCAAAATTCTTTCTTACAAATAATTCAGTACCACTTCTTCTAAAATTTATCCTAATCCCTAGGCAAAAGCAATGCACAACCAATCCAAGTTCTACAGGCAAGGTTCTCACCAGAAATGACACACCTCTGCAAAATGTCTTTAATTTTGCTTGTGGTGGTCTGGGTGGCATAGAGTCACCAATTTTATCTTCAGTTAACAAGAACAGCAGCAGAATCTGAATGTTTTCCTATTCTCAGCCTCTGGATCCATCCTGTTTTTTTTCTTTAGCCTGCCTGTATTGAACCACTGGGATCATTGTCCAAGTTCTTTTGGCTCTCAATCCTTTTAATATGGCTTCCACTGTTTCCAAACTCATCAGAAATTTTGGTTTTCAATCTCAGTTTCAGTCTCAGTTTCTTTAGAAGCGGGAGGCTCAATTTCTTTTCTCAATTTCATATTACAGTTTCCCTTTGAAACTACAGATTTCATGTTGAATGTACATCTGTGGTGTCATTTTTACAACTGCACAGCAATCAGGTGTTGAGCAACAGTGTATCAGTCCACCAGCCACATGGAGAGCTGTAAGACGTGAGCAATGAAGTTCCAGCATTTTGAGTTAAAAACTCTGATCATTTTGAAGTTAAGAGAATCAAAAGATGGTAATGGTGACTGTGGGTATCTGTGAGTAAAAACAACAAGAATTCAAATGGATTTAGTGCTGAATTAGATAATACAAACGATTATCCCAAATTAGTGACTGAGAGAAAAAAAAGCAGAATGAATTGTATGGAATCAACATTTGTTTCTGTGGAAATGAACACACAGCTCCAGATCGCGAAGAATTGGGAGGTTGACAGTGTTAGACAGGCATTTGAGAAATTTAAACAAAAGTGTAGTCATATTCAGTAGCTTTCTAAAAGTCACCAGTGAAGAAGAAAGTATCAGTTACAGAAGAGAAAGAGTTAAATTTCTTTTAACAGCTGTGAACTGAGTGAAGGTTACAGTAAAAACCGAGATGAAATATTTGAAAAATGCACCATGCATCACCAGCCAAAGTCAAATCAATGGATCCTACAATATAAATTTCAGAGCCTGAGGCAAGAGCCACATTGAAAAATGTAGCATGAAAATGTAAATTTTTGGAAACGGATGAAAAGCTGATAGATCAACTCATTTGGGGCTATACACACTCTGAAGTACAAAAAAATTGATTGGAAAGGACACTGCCAGAACACACGAAGCTATGAGTATACAGATGAAAATTCTGGCTCCCTAAGTGGGTATTCAGCTAAGGCAAAATAAAGGCAGGAGAATTGATGAAGAGCGACAAACAAATGCACAACAAACAGAGAGAAAGATATGTGAGGTTGTGGATGAGCACAAGAGTTCACAGTCAAATAGAAGTATCCTTTTAATGGTTCACACTGCACAGCTTGTGGATGAAGGATATACCCAGCAAGAAAAGAGGATGATAAACGAGTTATCAGGAACTGAGATGAGAAGGGAAAGAAAGCAAAACATCCATATCCTGGCAGATGTCCATCAATTTGAGAACACATAGACAGAAGAAACCTAAACCTGCATGAAATCAACATAACTAGATGTGGCAGTTCCCAAAGCAAATAAATTGACTCACTCAATCAGATCAAGAAGAGGGCGAGAAATAAGCCCACACTCATAAATATGAAGCTGAAGATTTTTACTGAAGCATAGAGTAACATCAGCCCACTTATACAAACCAGTTCTTTCCTGTAAATTGAAATCAAAATGGTTACCCAAGGAAAGATGCTCTGCATCTGCACAATGTGTTACTAATGTGGAAACTGAGATTTGACATCTAAGAACAACACATTTGAAGGTAGGAGACAGAGGATGTTGGTGGAGGGTTGCTTTTCAGACTGGAAGCCTGTGACCAGTGGTGTGCCACAAGGATCAGTGCTGGGTCCACTGCTTTTTGTCGTTTATGTAAATGATTTGGATGTGAACATAGGAGGTATGGTTAGTAAGTTTGCAGATGACGCCAAAATTGGTGGTGTAGTGGACAATGAAGAAGGTTACCTCAGAGTACAACGGGACCTTGATCAGATGAGCCAACAGGCTAAGGAATGGCAGATGGAGCTTAATTTAGGTAAATGTGAGGTGATGCATTTTGGAAAGGCAAATCAGGGCAGAACGTATCCATTTAACCATAAAGTCCTGGGGAGTGTTGGAACAAAGAGACCTTGGAGTGCAGGTTCATAGTTCCTTGAAAGTGGAGTTGCAGGTAATCAGGTTAGTGAAGAAGGCATTTAGTATGCTTTCCTTTATTGGTCAGTGCATTGAGTGTAGAAGTTGGGATGTCATGTTGCAGCTGTACAGGACATTGGTTAGGCCACTTTTGGAATGCTGCATTCAATTCTGGTCTCCCTGCTATAAGAATGATGTTGTGAAACTTGGAAGGGTTCAGCAAAAAGTTACAAGGATGGTGTCAGGTTTGAAGGGTTTGAGCCATTGGGAGAGGCTGAATAGGCTGGGGCTATTTTCCCTGGAGTGTCGGAGGCTGAGGGATGACGTTATAGAAATTTATGAAATCATGACGGGCGTGGATAGCGTGAGTAGTCAAGGTCTTTTCCCTAGGGTAGGGGAGTCCAAAACTAGAGGGCATAGGTTTAAGGTGAGTCGTGAAAGATTTAAAAGTGACCTAAGGGGCAACTTTTTCATGCAGAGGGTGTTGCCTGTATGGAATGAGCTGCCAGAGGAAATGGTGGAAGCTGGTACAATTACAGAATTTAAAAGGCATCTGGATGGGCATACATGAATAGGAAGGGTTTCGAGAGATTTGGGCCAAATGCTGACAAATGGAACTAGATTAATTTAGGATATTTGGTTGGCATGAACAAGTTGAATCGAAGGATCTGTTTCCATGCTGTACAGCTCTATGACTTTAAATCATAGGAAGACACAAAGGAAAAAAAAAATGTCAACTATATCTTCAGTGCCACCAAAACATATCTCCTTTTTTCCCTGGTATTAGACAATTGTGAAGAGTTACAATTTCCTCAATAAACCTTGAAGTCACCAAATCACTTGTGACACAGCAGGAGATCCTTTGACCCGTTGAGTCCTTGCAGGCTCCTTGTAAAACAGGCCAATCAATCACTTCACTCCACTGATTACCCAGAGCCCTGCATGCTTATTTCTTTCAACTGTCTATCCAATTCCCTTTTGAAGTCATTGTCTCTGATTCTAGCACCCTCACAAGTCTTTTAAATCTAATGTTATGCCTAAGACTCTGCATTCCTGGAACCATCCTGGTAAATCCCCTCATCAACCTGCTAAGGACATTTACTTCTCCCCTAAAATATAGTGACCAGAATTGGATACAGTTCTTTCATTTGGGCCTAACCAGAGGAAATAATTTTAAAGTAAGGGGATGCCACTTTGGTCCAAGCTGACGAGTTTTTTTTTACTGAAAGGATTGTGAACCTGTGGAATGTTCTACCACAAAGGGCTATGGAAGCTCAGTTTTTCAGTATGTTTAAGGCAGAGATTTATCCATTTCTGATTACCAGTAGCCTCCAGGGTTAAGGGGATGTGGTAGGAAAAGGCATTGAAGTATTCAATCAACTATGACCACATTGAATGGCAGGGTAGGTACAATAGACAGAATGTCCCACTCTTGTTCTTGGGTTACAATGTAACCAGAGTTTTATAAATATTCAGCATACCTTCCCTGGCTTTGTATTCAATACCTCTATTTATGAGGCGCAAGAACCCATATGTATGCTAATTAATCTCATTAAATCCTTCCACCTTTAAAGACTAATGCACATGCACCCCAGGTTCCTCTGTTCCTGCAGTTCTTTTAAACTGTGAAGGAGGGAACACTGGGGGTTGTAGGTAGTGTGCTCATTGAAAATCACAGCAACAAAAGATATCAGAACTTCCTGTCAGAGCAAAAACCTCTGGTACAAATGTATCCTGAGTGTTTTGGTGAGATACTGGGATGCACTAAATATTTTGCAAATTTCCAGTGGGAGCAATTACAACGTTTAAAGTACATTTGGATAAGTACATGAACAGGAAAGGTTTGGGAGGATATGGGCCAGGAGCAGGCAGCTGGAACTAGTTTAGTTTGGGATTTTGTTTGGCATGGATTGGTTGGACCCAAGGGTCTGTTTCCATGCTGTATGACTCTATGACTCAATGACACAAAGGTGGAGGGACAGATAGTGTTGAGGAAGCAGGAAGTCTGAAAAAGGAATTGGACAGCCTGTGAGAGTGGGGCAAAGAAGTGGCAGATGGGGTGTAATGTGGGAAAGTGTGAGGTTATGCATTT